GAGCCCAGGCTCAGAGCTGAGCTGCAGCAAGGCTGCCATCATCAACATGTCCAGCATTGGCGGCTCCATCGCTTCTTCCTATGGTTGGGAGTTGATGCAGATCACCTCGTACCGCTGCAGCAAGGTACTGCAACACCTTTGCTTCCCCTGCCCTGGCCAGCTGCAGGTCCCCTTGCAGCCCCCCTTCCCCTCCCACCACCGTCCCCACACTGTCTCCCCACAGGCTGCTCTGAACATGCTGAGCAGGTGCCAGTCCCTGGCGTACAAGGAGCACGGCATCCTCTGCGTGGCTCTCCACCCCGGCTGGGTGCAAACTGACATGGGCAGCTATGCCGGACACACGGTAGGGATTGCACCGGAGCGGGTCCATCAGAGCTCCGCTGCTGACTTCACGTGGGTGGGAGCTGCTGTCCTGAGCCCCTGCCCATGACTTCCCTGCCTGCCCAATCCCTGCTGGGGCATTTCCCCCTGTCCTAGTGCTGGGTGTCCCCATTCCCTCAGTTCTTGTCTCAGTCCCTCCCTCTGGGGTTGTCAGCTTTCCCTTTGCCCTGAAGCAGCTTTCCCCTGACTCCAGCTGCTCCAGGGCCCCCAGCCAGGCCTTGGGCATGGGCTGCATCTCCTCTTCTGCCCCACAGCCCCCTGTGACAGTGGATGACAGCGTGCAAGGGATGCTGAAGGTCCTCTCCTCCCTCTCTGAGAAGGACACTGGCGCCTTCCTGGACTGGGAAGGGAACGTCTTACCCTGGTGAAACACCACTTCAGGATCCTGGCAGCCAAGAGCTACCTTTGGCACTGCTCCCACCTCCCCCACATCCTCAATAAACTCCTGCTGAGACCCCCAGCTCTGTTGTGCAGTGCCAGCTCATGGGGTGGCCGTTTCCAGATATCCCACTCCTCCACTGGGGATTGGTGGTGCCCACAGCTGCCCCCAGCCCATGGCTGTCCCTGGCATCCCCATGAGTTAGAGCCAGCAGGTCCCATGGCACTGTGACTGCCCTCTGGAGACCTCCCCTGCAGGAGGCACTGGAGAAGCTGGAGCAGCCCCTCTCCTGAGAGGAGAGAGATCTTCTGAGCCCCTGCAGGACTGGCTTTCCCCTGCCCAGGCTGAGCTGCCTGAGGGGCTGGGGGTCACAGGGAGCAGCTGCCCTCTCCCCTCAGCTGGGGGGTGCCTGGTCACAGGTGGGACAGAAGGACACACAGAGCTTGGGCAGAGCACAGGGATCCTGCCTCGGCTCTGCCAGGGCTCGGACAGGGGGTTTGAGACTGGGTGGAGACAGAGCAGAAGGGCATCACATCAGCTGCCAGAGTTTACAGAGATGAGGGGTACAGGGGGACCACAGGAAGGTAGGGGAAGGAGAGAGAAGTTGCTTCCCAAGTCCTTCTCTTCTTGAAGCTGTAAAGCCAAGTACCTCATCCCCATGTTCTGGGCAGCCTGGAAGAGGCACAGCCCTGCCAGCACAACTCAGGGAGTGGGCAGGCAGGAGAGGAGACATTTCATAACCACAAAATGTCTGTGCAGGTGGGAAATGGGACTTGGTCCTGTGACAAAGCATCCGCATGACCTGCTGGGAAGGCTCAGTCCTGCCTGCTGCTGTCCCAGTCTTTGTGCTTCTGCCTGGGAGAACCAGGCAGGGGGTGGGTGGCTGGGGCTGGGGGTGAACCATGGGCTCCCTCCCCTCCATGGGCACCGTGCCTGGGACAGCATCTCCAGCTCCTCCCCTGGCACCTCACCTTGCTGGCCCAGTACGGGTACATGGGAGCCTCTGGGACGTGGAGGCACAGCCCGATGGAGCCCAGTTTGGAGGAGATGTTGATGACAGCAGCCCTGCTGCAGCTCAGACCCTCCTTTCCTGCCTTTGCTGCCTGCTCCAGGAGTGGCAGAAATTCCTGATGCAAGGACACAGATGCTGCATGAAGATGTGCCAAGCCTGCAGTTTGTGTCTTGCTGGAGTGCAAGGCCAGCAGCTGGTGTTGTGCTGGCCATGCAGGTGCCCATCCTTCTGCCAGGAGACTGAATCCTCTGGGTTTGCTTCCCTCCATGGGAGCCTTGTTTCACTTGGCAATCAGGGAATGGGCATTGGCTTGGAGGAGGTCAGACCAAGGCAGAGTGTCTGCTTGTGGCCATGTGAGGAATGTCCTGGCCAAGGGGACCAGGGCAGGGGGATGAGATCAGTCTGTTCCCAGTCTTGTGTAGGTCTGATGCAGAAAGTCCTTGTGAAGGTGTCAAGCCCAAGTGAGCCCTGGAGCTTCCCACATCCTTTCCATATGCTGCTCCTTCCCTCCTCACCCACAACATCCTCTCCTGGCTTATGACACTAGGTTTTCCAAGGACAGCAGAATTTGTCTGAAACCACCAAGGGGTTTTGCCCTTTGGAAGCAAAGACTGGCTCCCAGCCAGGATCAATGTCCAGGAGTTTGAAAGGCAGGTACAGTTGCTCCTCCTGGATCCAAGGGTTGGTGTAAACCCTAAGTGGGTGGGGTGCCAGTGGAAAATGCTAAAAGGAAATATTAGGGAGCAGAGCAAACAGTGAGAGCTGGAGCAGGGGAGGACAAGCAGCATGGCAGGGCTCCACGTCCGCTCACTTCTGGTGACTGGGGCCAACCGGGGACTCGGCCTGGGGCTCGTCCAGCATTTCCTGAGGATGCCAAACCCACCTCAGTGGATCTTTGCAACCTGTCGGGACCCCAAGGGACAGAGAGCACAGGTGAAGTCAGACTGGGAGGCAGTGACTGTGCTGGGGGATGGGAGCACTCGATGTCAGGGGGAGATTGGAATAGGGATGGTGTTTGCAAGGGCAGGAGCTTCAGCTGGGCACCTGGGGCACAGGGCACCTGGGCTGAGACAACATGGGAGCAGTTGTGCATGGGACGTGTGGAGGGGACAGTGGTACTTGGTCATGGAGTCCTCCCAATCCGTCGGGTTCAGGGCAGCTGGAGCAAAGCATGGGGTCCATGGTAGTGCAGGGATAGAGCCAGATAAATGTGGGCTTTGCCTGGGGAAGGCTGAGCCTCTGCACAGCCCCTCCAGCCTCTCCATGCCTACACAGTGCCCTCTCTTTCAGGAGCTACAGAATTTGGCTTCCAAGCACCCCAACATCATCATCATCCCGCTCGGTAGGTGCCCCGAGGTGAGGATCCTTTGCCCCAGTTCCTCTGGCAAGTGCCCAGGCTGGGCACACCCCGGGAGCCCCGTGCTGGGCGGGAGCTGTGCCAACGGGCCAGTGCCGGCGGCGCCATCGGGCACTGCCACCTCCGGAGGAACAGAGGGGACTCCACCATGGGAACGCAGGCTCTGACCTCCCCTGTGTCGGCTCTGCAGAGGTCAGCGACCCCACCAGCATCAAGGCAGCTGCAGCCAAGGTTGGGGAGCACTTGGGGGGCTCTGGGCTGAACCTCCTCATCAACAATGCTGGAATTGCAAAGCCAAACTCCCTTGATAATGAGACACCAGAGGATATGATCCAGGTTTACACCACCAACACGGTTGGACCCCTGCTGATGGGCCAGGTGAGTCC